GACTTATCTCTAGAATTTATAGAAAACTCCAACACATCAACAACAAAAAGACAAACAATCCAATTAAAAAATGGGCAGACGACATGAATAGACACTTCACCAAAGAGGATATTCAGGTGCCCAACTAGCATGTGAAGAAATGCTCACAATCATTAGCCATTAAAGAGATGCAAATCAAAACAACAATGAGATATCATCTGGCCCCAGTACTAGTAGCAAAGTTCAACAAGACAGAAAATAACAAATGCTGGCGAGCATGCGGAGAGATTGGAACTCCCATACACTGCTGGTGGGACTGTAAAATGATAGAACCATTGTGGAAAGCAGTGTGGTAATTCCTTAAAAAGTTGGAATTAGAAATACCATTTGACCCAGCCATTCCTTTACTAGGTATATTTCCTAAAGAAGTGAGAGCCATGACAAGAACAGATATATGCACACCCATGTACATCGCAACACTGTTTATAATAGCCAAAAGATGGAAACAACCATCTAGGTGTCCATCAACTGAAGAATGGATAACCAAACTATGGTACATACACACAATGGAATACTATGCAACCCCAAAGAATAACGTAGAATCTGCAAACACCGCATAACATGGATGAACTTGGAGGACATTATGCTGAGTGAAATAAGTAAATCACAGAAGGACAAATATTGTATTAGTGCATGATTATAAAAAGTCGAGGAAAGGTTTATGTATGGAAGGAAATTTTCTTTGTTGGTTACCAGGGGTAGGATGGGAGGGTAGGGAACACTGTTGGATAGGCAGAGACAAGTATTGATTTGGGTGAAGAGAAGGGCAATGTATCAAATGTGAGTGATCAACATGGTGGCATTGAGGAAGAGGAAGACATAGAGAGGTCCATGGGAGGTACAGACAACAAAGATGAACCCTTTTGCACATACAGTACTATGTTGTCAGAGAAGGCAAACATGGATATACGGATGGATAGATGGGTGGATAGGCTGAATGATTAGGTATGTCTATGCAGGGAGGAGTATGCCCAAGACCATGTATAGGGTTGGCAGACAATGTTTGTACAAGTATATGGTATGTTCTGTAAGAATTCCCAGGTATATAGTAGAGCTGACAAGGAACAAGTTTGTAGTCACTTCTTGGCCACAGCCAGCTACCCAGAGGGAGTGAGTAGTTGAACCTGGGAGCTCGGGACCATAGTTGCAGGGGACATCAAGCTCAATTGGCATAATATACTACAAAAAACATTGTTCCACCTCCTAGTTTGGCA